ATTAGATCTTGTATAGAGAGGTTTAACTGTATTCAAGATTTTATTAGTTAATCTTCATGTTTTTTCTATGTAAAGCACAAAAGGAATCATAATGCTTGAAACATCTAAAATATGATTGCATGTGAATGGATTTGACTCCAAATTGAAACCATGTAATTATTGCAAACATTCATGCTGATTAGTTAATTTACTGAGTATAATATTAAAATTTAGAAGGTTCGCAAAGTTTCACACCTTTTTTTTAAAATGTAATATAGATATTTACGATTTCAAGGCTATAGTTTTCTTGAGCAAAAATTATTTTTACTAATCAAAATTTTTACTAAAGGCAATGCTAGTAGATAAACCATGTAAAATACAGGTTCATGTGCAGTATATAAAGAATACAAGACTAGTTTTAGAGTTGTATGAAAATTTTTGTGTTTATATTCAGTAAAACTTTAGTTCTCTGGATCTGAAATATTTTTTGGGGGATCCCAAATTCTTGCTAGTGACAATGCCAAGAGGTAGACTTGTAAAAATACAGATCCATGTACAGTACAGATAAAGATCTTAAAAAACAAGAATAATTTCGGGATTGTAGTATGAAAATTTTTGGTTTATTCAACAAGACCTAAGCTTCAATAATCTAAAAAAGTTTTATGTATTTAATTCATTTTATAGAAGTTAATTGCTAAGTAAGTTAGCGAAGATATGATTTGGATCAAATATGTGTGAGTGATCTCGTTTAACTTAATATGGATGAAAGTTTGTAATACGTCTCGGATAGAAGTGATGATGACAGAAAATAGAATAGAGTTGCCATTTTAAAATATATAATTAAAAGTAAAGCTTTGCTGATAAGTCGTTTATTTGTATATCGCTTTTGTTTTAATTGGCCAGTGATATGTTTTTTTAGATCATATCACAGTCATGTTTTGATCATGTGATAAATTATGGTGCCTATGTTGGGTTTGGGATATAATTTGGAATTAAAGTTTGCTGATTCCAAATTAGATAGGATTCTGTAATTGTTCGGTTTGGGTACATTGCTAGTAGAAGCTATACATATTACATATATGCAAATTTCCTTTTTTAGATATTGCGAGGAAATTGCTTTGCGATCTTATACATGAAGATGATACGAATTAACATAAATATTTAAGCTACTGACCATACTTGGTAAATGTTGCTTACACTACATTCTCAAAAGAACACTCAGTAAAATTTAAAAGGGTAAAAAAAAAATACATTATTTAATATGTCTTTTGATTGAAAAATTATCATGAGTAAAAATCTATAAAGTTTGCTGAAAATGGTAATTCAAATTTACTAAACACTCTTGGATTCTGCTACCAAGATGGTATAGGCACTGTCAGGGATGAAAAAAAGGCATTTGAGTGGTATTTGAAATCTGCTGAAGGTGGCAATTCTAATGAACAATATAACATCGGAATCTGCTATGACAAAGGAATAGGCACAGCCAAAGATGAAAAAAAGGCATTTGAATGGTATTTGAAATCTGCTGAAGGTGGAAATTCGAATAGACAATTTAATGTTGGATTCTGCTATGATGAAGGCATAGGCACAACCAAGGATGAAAAAAGGCATTTGAATGGTATTTGAAATCTGCTGAAGGTGGCAATTCGGATAGACAAATTGGTGTTAAAACCTGCTATGATGAAGGCATAGGCATAACTAAGGATGAAAAAAAGCATTTGTGTGGTATTTGAAATCTGCTAAAGGTGGTAATACAAATGGACAATATAACCTCGAATTCTGCTATCAAAATGGTATAGGCACAATCCAGAATAAAAAAAAGGCATTTGAATGGTATTTGAAATCTGCTGAAGGTGATGATTCGAATGGGCAATTTAATGTGAAAGCATGCTATGAGGAAGGCATAAGCACAATCAAAGATGAAAAAAGAGCTTTTGAGTGGTATTTAAAATCTGCAGAAGGTGGCAATTCGAATGGACAATATAACATCGGAGTCTGTTATGATGAAGGTAAAAGCATAATCAAGGACGAGAAAAAGGCATTTGAGTAGTATTTAAAATCTGCTGAAGGTGATAATTTGAATGTACAATTTAATGATGGAACCTGCTATCAAAACAGCATAGGTACAACCAAGGATAAAAAAAAGACATTTGAGTGGTACTTGAAATCTGTAGAAGGTGGCAATTCGAAGGGACAATATCATGTCAGAAGCTGTTACATAAATGGCATAAGAACAACTAAGGATGAGAAAAAGGCATTTGAATGGTACACTCCCCTGACATAAGTCACCAGTTTTTTCAAAATTGATGATGATCATCCGTATGACTCATTGTTGACAAAAAATTTTTTTTTCTTGAAAATTACTATACTTGCCCCAAAAAAATTTTTTTTACGGTTTTATTCGAACCCACTAGTGTGTCTATTTTTTTTTTATTTTTTTGATTTATTTTTTTTTTTTTTACTATGAAACAAAGGAAGCAGCTTACCGACGAACAACGCAACCAAATTATTGGTACTTGGAAAACCGGTGTGAAGCAAATAAGAATTATAGAGACTCTAAAACTTCCCCAAAGCACCGTCAATGATGTAATAACATACTACAGAAAGACTGAGGAAGCTGTACCTTTACCTCGTCCTGGACGATCTCCTAAAGTAACTGAACGTGGTGTTCGACACCTAACCCACATTTTAAAAATAGACAGAAAGATCACGCTAAATGTTTTGACGAACAAATTCGTTGAAGCAACCTCTGTAGAAGTATCCACACAAACCATACAACGGCATCTCCATAATGAAGGGTTTTATAGTCAGGTTGGTTTAAGAAAACCATTTATAGATGAGGAGTCTCGAGTGGCTTGTATGAATTGGGCAGGCGCAAAAGTAAGTTGGAATGAAAGGTAGAAAAATGTTATTTAGAGTGACGAATCAAGGTTTGAGGTGTTTGGAGGGGATGGTTGTAAGTATGCTTGGAGAAAACCAAAAGAAAAATATGATGTTGAATGTTTAGTTCCAACATTTAGGTCAGGAAGGTTAGGCATAATGGTTTGGGGGTGTTTTAGCATATACGGTCTTTGACCTTTTGTTTGGGTTCATGGCAAGATAAATTTAAAAGACTATGTAGAAATTCTTGAAACTTGTTATGTATCCTATTTAAACAATTTAATAAACATAGTGGGTCAAAAAAATTATGTGTTCCAAGACGACAATGCTAAAATTCACACTTCCAAATTTACTAAAAAATGGTTTGACGAAAATCATATTGCGCAGCTTCCGTGGCCCTCATATAGTCCTGACCTCAATCCCATTGAACATTTGTGAAATGAATTAGAGCGTCGTATATGTAAGCACATCCCTCTACCAAGCGATGAGTCAGAACTCTTCAATTTGCTCCAGGAAGAGTGGTTTAAAATCGATGGTTCATTTTTAAAAAATCTTGTTGAAAGTATGCGTCGACGTATTCTTGCTGTAATTGCTGCTAATAGGTACCCTACACGGTATTAAATTATGTAAATAAAATTTATATATGTAGTTGCTAAATAAAAAATTGTGACCCGAATTAGTATGTAGTTTATTGAGAATTTACAAATCAAAAACCGGCAAACAAAAATGATCGTCATATTGTTACCAAAAAAATCCGGTGACTTATGTCAGGGGAGTGTACATTGTATCGCATATAGCCTCCTATAATTTTTTTTATAGTAAGCAAGAAAAATAAAATTCAATATATTTAAGTTTTTACCTATTGCAATGTTAATAAAACATAACAGTAAAAAAAAAAAAAAAAAGAATTTAAAAAAAAATCGCTTTAATAAAAAAAACTTTAAATATTAAATAATCACAAGATCGGAAAGTAAGTTCGGAATGATCGCGGATTTTTTGCGCCATGACTAACCCGTCAGTCCTACCTGTAAATATAAGGGTACTCGTTAGACCACTTATTTGTGCGAGTAACACAAACCAAAAAAGGAAATCGAATTTTTAAGTGCGTAAAGATAGAAGTTTAGTGTTAGAGTGTTAACATTAGAGGCTATAACAATAGATTGTTGCTCGTTATATGTAATTTCGAAAATTTTAATTAGTGAACCAAGGTCGATTTAAACACTAGTTTTTGAATATTTTCGCTTTTTCTTCTTTCGCACGTGTTCGGAATTCATGTCGGGCGGATCCGGAACAATCAAATTTTGTGCACTCCGATTGGCCATTTCCTTTCTAGGGGTTTGTATTACTCGCACAAATACCGTAAATGGCCATATAGACGACCCGGGTATGTTACATTCCACCGGTTCAAAAACTTGGGGGGTATATTGTTTGGAGGGAGGGTATAGTAATAGGTAGAATTCTTCTTGTTAGATATAAACTACTAATCAAGAAACCCGGGTCTCTTACATTCTACTAAATTCTTAACCCTAGTTTAGACCCGGGTATAATAGGGGGGTCTACTATCAAGGTACAGGAGCGACCGTCGATGTTACACGACTGATCCTTCACCCGGTGTGCAACATATAAAAAAACTATTTTACAATACCAGATCATTCCGACAGTACATGTTATGATTATAATCCCACACCATTTTTAATAATAAAAATGGTGTGGGATTATAATCATAACATGTACTGTCGGAATGATCTGGTATTGTAAAATAGTTTTTTTATATGTTGCACACCGGGTGAAGGATCAGTCGTGTAACATCGACGGTCGCTCCTGTACTATCAAAGGGGGTATTTTATATGGCCATTTACGGTAAGTGCGTGCGCCTCGTAGACCTGGGGCATAAGTTCATTGAATTTCGGACGATCTTCATCACATGATCATAGACTGAATATTTTCACGTTTACTGATTGGCCATTTACTTTTTAAGACTTTGTATTACTCGCGGAAATTTACATTACGCGTTTGTGTAATATGATAATCATTATATCTTTTGTTTTTTAATTTTTTATCAACCACTTTCAGCACCAGTCGCGACAATTATTACTGTATTATGATTCTTAGAAATCTTGTACAGAATAATTCAAAATGACATGGACGTTACCAAGGACAAGGTACATAATATTAAAAACTATATGGATGCTACAAAAGACAAAGTACATGATATTCGAAACAATATGGACGTTATTAAGGACAACATACATTTGCGTATTCTAACATTTAAGCGACGTCCAGAGCATCGTAAAAATCGAATGTTATTAAATTATCATTAAAAAAAGTGGTAAGTCTGTGGATTATATTCGTTCTGATAGGGGATGAGTATTTATCTTTCGCCAGTGCTGAATTAGTTGCATGTTTCCTAGATTCGTTCCGGTTACGCGTAATATAAGTTTCCTACTGAACTGGAATTTATGAAAGGATACTGATAAGATTCGGTTAAAAAGTTAAGAATTCAAATATTATCCATTGCTTAAATTTTATTTACGTGTAAACTTATTGGTATTAATTTTGTTTATTAAAAAATTTTATTTTTACCGTCAGTAAGGAATTATAAAAAGAAGAACTGGTTTAGTGGGTCTCAGAATTTATACAACAATGTACCTGAATTAGTATTACTAAATCTGGTTCTATTAAAAGTTAAGGATTTCAATTTTTTTTTTAATTTTCCATTTTACTTATTGCCACTAATTATTTTTTTTATTAAAAATATCATCCTTATGCGTTAGTGAAGAATTACAAAAGAACTCTTATACGATGTTTTTTTTTTTTTTACTTCATGGTATCGTAGGTAAATAATTGTAGAAAAATACGGTGATCTATGTAGATACTACTAAATCTGGTCTATTAAAAAGTTAAGATTTCAAATATTAATTTTCCATTAATTGGGTTTTATTTATTGCCACTGATTTTTTTTTTTTTTTTATTAAAAATACAGTCGTTCTCCCATACAATCACACAGTTGGGCACATAGTAAATTTTTTTTAAAAATGTGCTTATAAAGGAGTTGTGCTTATATGGAGGTTTAGATTGGCCTAAGCGTAAATGTAATTACATCATATGGGCGGATTTTTTTGTGAAACTTTCAAAAACGATCTAATTCTGGTCAAATTTGCAGATCATTTGGCCCTGGTTTATCAGTTTTAAAACTGATAAGCCAGGGCCAAATGATCTGCAAATTTGACCAGAATTAGATCGTTTTTGAAAGTTTCACAAAAAAATCCGCCCATATGATGTAATTTGATTTTATGGGAGGTGACTATATAGAGGGACGACTGTATTATCCTTATGTGTTATGAAGAATTACAAAAGAACTCTTACGCGATTTTTTTTTACATCACGCTATCGTTGAGGTAAATGATTACTAAATCTGGTTTTTTTAAAGAGTTAAGGATTTCAAAATTTTTTTTTTCAATTAATCGAGTTTTATTTATTGGCACTAATTTTTTTTATTAAAGATATTATCCTTATATGTTAGTGAAGAATTACAAAAGAATTCTTACACGATGTCTTTTTTTTACATCATGCTATCGTAGAGGTAAATAATTTGTAGAAAAAAACGGTGATTTAAGTAGATACTACTAAATCTGGTTCTATTAAAAGGGTAAGATTTCAAATATTTATTAATTTTCCATTAATCGAGTTTTATTTATTTCGCTAATTATTTTTTTTTTTAATCAAAAATATCATCTTATGCGTTAGTGAAGAATTACAAAAGAACTCTTACACGATGCTTTTTTTTTTACATCACGCTATCGTAGAGGTAAATAATTGTAGGAACATATGGCGATCTAAGTAGATACTACTGAACCTGGTTCTATTAAAAAGTTAAGATTTCAAATATTTATTAAATTTCCATTAATCGAGTTTATTTATTGCACTAATTATTTTTTTTTATTAAAAATATTATCCTTATGCGTTAGTGAAGAATTACAAAAGAACTCTTACGCGATGTTTTTTTTTTTTTACGTCAAAATCAGGTTCTATTAAAAAGTTATGATTTCGAAGATTTTTGATTAATTTTTCCATTAATCGAGTTTTATTTATTGTCATTAATTAATTTTTTTTTTTATCGAAAATATTATCCTTAAGCGTTAGTGAAAAGTTACAAAGAAAACTGGTTTGGAGAGTTTTGAACTACCAACGCATCTTCAGCAATGTATTTTAATTAAGCCATCGAGATAAAATTAAAACGAACAATGGAATTGGCTAAAATGTACGCTAAGAAAATGAACATTATACGAAATATGGAAATTGAAGAAATAAAAAATAAGTGGTAAGTATAATAGTTAATAATATGTGGATGGTGGCTTTTGCCAGGTTGCTTGTTGCTTTACTGGATACGTCTGGTAAGGGTGAAGAGTTTTCTTCCACAACGCCGAATTAGATGCTGTTTTCTAGATACGTCCGGTTAACGATGGGATATACTGAGATAAGGTTTATTGGTAAAGGGACCTACTTTTTATGGAGAAAGAATTAGTTGGCTTCTTTATAATAACAAAGAAACTTGAATTTGTATATCTCGCATCTAGCCATCGCTATTACTCTGATTATTCTTACTCTTACACGATGTTATTATTATTATTATTTTTTTTACTTCACGCTATCGTAGAGATAAATAATTGTAGAAAAATACGGTGATCTAAGTAGATACTACTAAACCTGGTTCTATTAAAAAGTTATGATTTCAAATATTTATTAATTTTCCATTAATCGAGTTTTATTTATTTCGCTAATTATTTTTTTTTTTAATCAAAAATATCATCTTATGCGTTAGTGAAGAATTACAAAAGAACTCTTACACGATGCTTTTTTTTTTACATCACGCTATCGTAGAGGTAAATAATTGTAGGAACATATGGCGATCTAAGTAGATACTACTGAACCTGGTTCTATTAAAAAGTTAAGATTTCAAATATTTATTAAATTTCCATTAATCGAGTTTATTTATTGCACTAATTATTTTTTTTTATTAAAAATATTATCCTTATGCGTTAGTGAAGAATTACAAAAGAACTCTTACGCGATGTTTTTTTTTTTTTACGTCAAAATCAGGTTCTATTAAAAAGTTATGATTTCGAAGATTTTTGATTAATTTTTCCATTAATCGAGTTTTATTTATTGTCATTAATTAATTTTTTTTTTTATCGAAAATATTATCCTTAAGCGTTAGTGAAAAGTTACAAAGAAAACTGGTTTGGAGAGTTTTGAACTACCAACGCATCTTCAGCAATGTATTTTAATTAAGCCATCGAGATAAAATTAAAACGAACAATGGAATTGGCTAAAATGTACGCTAAGAAAATGAACATTATACGAAATATGGAAATTGAAGAAATAAAAAATAAGTGGTAAGTATAATAGTTAATAATATGTGGATGGTGGCTTTTGCCAGGTTGCTTGTTGCTTTACTGGATACGTCTGGTAAGGGTGAAGAGTTTTCTTCCACAACGCCGAATTAGATGCTGTTTTCTAGATACGTCCGGTTAACGATGGGATATACTGAGATAAGGTTTATTGGTAAAGGGACCTACTTTTTATGGAGAAAGAATTAGTTGGCTTCTTTATAATAACAAAGAAACTTGAATTTGTATATCTCGCATCTAGCCATCGCTATTACTCTGATTATTCTTACTCTTACACGATGTTATTATTATTATTATTTTTTTTACTTCACGCTATCGTAGAGATAAATAATTGTAGAAAAATACGGTGATCTAAGTAGATACTACTAAACCTGGTTCTATTAAAAAGGTAAGATTTCAAATATTTATTAAATTTCCATTAATCGAGTTTATTTATTACACTAATTATTTTTTTTTATTAAAATATTATCCTTATGCGTTAGTGAAGAATTACAAAAGAACTCTTACATGATATTTTTTTTTACATCACGCTGTCATAGAGGTAAATGATTTGTAGAAATGTACGGTGATATAAGTAGATGAACTAAATCTGGTTCTATTGAAAAGTTAAGATTTCAAAGCTTTTTTAATTTTCCATTAATCAAGTTTATTTATTGCCGTTAATTGTTTTTTTTTTATCGAAAATATTATCCTTAGGCGTTAGTGAAGAAAACTGACTTGGAGAGTCTTGAACTACCAACGCATCTTCAGCAATGTATTTGAATTAAAGCATCGAAATAAAATTAAAACGGATAATGGAATTGTGCTAAAATGTACGTTAAGAAAATGAACATTATACGAGATATGGAAATTGAAGAAATAAAAAATAATTGTTAAGTATAACAGTTAATAATATGTGGATGGTGGCTTTTGCCAGGTACTTGTGCTTTACTGGATACGTCTGGTAAGGGTGAAGAGCTCTCTTCCATAAGCAGTGTTGGCACTTGGTATATGTCCATATTTTTTAAAAATTTGGACTATATCCAAACCTATATGTCCATGTCCATAAATTACTATGTCCATATTTGTCCATATTATTTTTAATAAGTCCAAATGTCCATATTGCCCAACACTGTCCACAAGGCCGAATTAGATGCTGTTTTCTAGATACGTCCGCTAACGATGGGATTTACTGAGATAAGGTTTTTTTTGGTAACGGGACCTACTTTTTCTAGATAAAGAATTAGTTGGCATCTTTATAATAACAAAGAAACTTGGATTTGTATATTTCGCATCTAGCCATTGCTATTACTCTGATTATTCTTATTATAGATTTTCTCTTACACGATGTTATTATTATTTTTTTTTTTTACTTCACGTTATGTAGAGATAAATAATTTGTAGAAAAATACGGCGATTTAAATAGATACTACTAAATCTAATTATGTTAAAAAGTTAAGGATTCCAATATTTATTAATTTTTTATTAATTTTTCATTAATTGATTTTAATTATTGCTAATTTTTTTTTTATTAAATATATTTTTAGAGATTTCAAACTACAGTGATCGCAAAATGATCCGTAAAAATAATATCTAATAAATTTCTTCGTCTTTTAAGAATGGCTAAATAACTCTTCAATTTAGTTTAAAAGAATGTTATTAATAGCAAGATCCGTTTTAAGTTCAAGATCATCGAAAATGGATTAGTCAAATACAAAGTATTACTTTATAATTCGTGTGATTATATAATAAAATTTCTCAATGAAAACTTTTTGTTAATTGGTTTCTTATACATATTTTCGAGAAATAAGCGATTTTTGACCAAACGAACGTTTTGAATTTTCCTGATCGTGTTACATACGCTACGTCTGATCTCGAAATCTGATTTGTACGTATACATGTG